GCAGGGGCTGCGGCCCCCCCCCTGGCTGCCATCCATCAGCATGTGACAGCCACCACCTGGGGCTCCGGTGGCCCCGGCGCCGCGCCGTCCCCACGCTCCCCTCCCGGGGGTCGCGGTGGCCGGGGGTGTCAGCTCCCAGCAGCTCTGTATTTCCATCGGCACTGGAAGTCAGTGAGGTGATGGATGGACTCTGCTCAGCTGCGCCGGGCGCAGAGGAAGCCCCAAACCCCTTCCGGCACGGGGGACCCTGGGCTCCCCACCCGTGCCCTGCCACCCCCGTGGTGGCTCCCGGCTGCTGCCAGCACCGCAACGCCCCGAGGCAGCTCTGCTGATGCTGCACCCTTGGATCTGATCCCAATAAATCCAAGGGGATGCTGTTGGGATGCTCCAGCTGGGATGCTCCAAAGGTGCCCAGCTCCAGCTGCGAGGCTCCCGGCCGGGGATGCCAGGGCTCCGAGTAGGGAGCGAATATGAGAGCAGCCCCGCGGCGCAAGGCAGCCTGGGGTCCCTTTGCGCCCGAGATGCCCCTCGAGGGTGGCACCAGCGAAGGAGACACGAGAGCCTGGCTCAGCTCTCAAAAGCAGCCGAAGCTTTTATTTCATCTACGTCCAGCTCGCGAGCGCCAAACCCTCGAGCCGGTGCTCGGCCGGGCGGGCGCAGGGGACGGTGCCCACCCAGCACCTCCCTGCTCCCGGCATCGGCCGCTTCTGCACGAAGCCAGGCGCTAAGGAGCTGCCCCGGCCCCGGGCTCGCGGCACGTGGCACTCGGCTCGCCCAGCAGCGGCCCCGTGGGGCGGCCAGCGATGAGCGGGTGCTGGAGGGGCTGCAGGTGCCCCCCGGCTGCCCATGTTGCACAAAGCCAAGCCCAGGGCCCCTGGTCCTTGCCCTGAGCCAAGGTGGGATTCTGGGGGGCAGGAGGGCCCCGTGGCAGGGCAGCCCCCCCGCAGAGACCTGCTGGTCCCGGGATGCTGGTTGCCCGCAGCATCTCCAGGGGGGTTCAGTGCTGCACGGCCCTGGGGACAGCGTGGCACTGAGGACCCCGGGCATGAGGACGAGAACGTCGGGGGGCTGAAGCCTGCTTTGCTCCGGATGGGTCTTTAGCACATGCAATGCGCTGATTGATAAGCAATAACTGCAATGAGCTGGGGAGCCGGCCCTGGGTCTGAGCGCAGGCTCCTGGCTGGGCTACTGAAGTCGCTCCCCTCCCACTGCCTCAGTTTCCCCAAGCGTCACCGCGCTTTGTCCGCAGCCTGCGGCACAGCAGCCGCACCAGCATCGCACGGGCACCTCTCCCAGTCCAACGCAGGGGCTGCCCGCAGCTCCCCATGCCGCCGCATCCCAGGAGGCAGCGACGCCGGGGAGCCCAGCACATGGTGGGGGGCGTCCCCGGCCAAATCTGGGGGTGCTCCTGGTGAGGGTGAGCTTCACACACGATTGGGATGCCCCCCACCCAACGCCTTCTCCGGGGCAGCCTCGTCAGCCTTCTTGAAGCAATAAACCCCAAAAAGCTTGTACTTCTTGTCCGGGAAGCCCAGGTTGCGCACGCCGGGCTCCCGGCCCCCGCAGCGCGCCCGGGGGTTGACGATGGGGTAGCGGATGCTCTGCCGCCCTCCAGCCAGCCGGCCTCGCAGCGGTCCAGCAGCTGGATCTTCCAGGCGGCGTAGAGCTGGCCCACCTTGGCCACGGTCGCCCCGTTGTTCTTGCAGGCCTGCACCGCCTCGGCGTAGCTCAGCTTGCGGTACGTCTTCAAGAAGTAGACTTTGCCTGGAGGGGGGACAAAGTGGGGGCTGACGGGGACTTGGCTGCAGCATCCTGCATCCGGCAGGGCACCGGCACCTGGGTGGGATGGGGCAGGGATGGGGCTGGGCAGTGCAAGCCCCATGGACCCCCCCAACGCATTTTGGGGGGGCTGGAGGAGGCGACCGGCCGGGTGGGCTCTGGGGAGCCGCCGCCGTGGTGCGGGCAGATTTATGGGGGCTGCACGGTGGCGGTCGGTGATGGCTCCTCGTGGCGATTACACCTGCTATTTATTCTGCCTGCCACCATTAAATAAACATCGGCAGAGCCCCCCCGCGCGGCCCTGCCAGCCAGGAGGAATTTACAGAGCCCGGGAGCCCTCCCGGCTCCCATCTGTCTTGCGTGGCCCCAGCCTCATCCATCACCCGTCCCGTTTGCTGCTGCAATTACCTCGTCCCCTGCTCCTGCCCAGGGAAGATGGGTCTTGCTAAAACCGGGTGCACCGGCCCCAGAGGTGACGGGGCCGGATCCTGGTCCTTGCTGGGGGTCCCCAGCACCGGACCCCCTCTTGATGTGCCAGGGAGCCCAGGGAAGGCACGTGGGCGAGATGGGTGAGACCTCCAGGGCTGAGCACCTTCCCAGACCGTCGTGGGAAACCCCCCCACCCAGCCAAAACAGGGAGCTGGGCGCTCTGTGCCTCAGTTTCCCCTCTGCCGTTACCATTGAGGTTGGAGGTGAAGCAGAAGGCGTCGTAGTGCTCGCTCTCCTTGTGCCGATAGCCGTAGTTGCGTACCCCCACCGGCGTGTCCTTGCGGCCGCACTCCTCCCGCGGCCGGGAGATGGGGTACTGCACCGAGCCGTCCTCCAGCCAGCCGGCATTGCACCAGTCCATGCCCTCCAGCCAGGCCTGGTGCAGCTGGTCGTGCGAGGCCAGGATGCCGTCCTGCTCCAGGCACGCTTGCTGCGCCTCGTGGAAGTTCAGGGTGTAGCGACCCAGGCGCGGGTGGTAGGGGAAGATCACGCCTGGGGGGACGGAGAGGAGGGCTGGGGTGGGGGGGTTCTCCCCTTATTTTGCGGCTGCACCCAACGAACGGGGTCGTTGCATCAGCACAAGGCACTGGGAGCGAGCGGGGAATGGGAGCCCAGCGAAGATCAGCTGCCATCATCTCTGCTCGGGGAGTTTGGGTGCTCCAGGCTTTGCTCAGTAACCCCAAAGCTCCCCCACCCTGTGACCGCAGGGACCCCCGCAGCACCCCCGGGCTCCAGGGGCTGCTCTGGGACCGGGGGACATCGGTGGTACCCGCATGGGGTCTCAGCCGAGCCCCGGTGTTCCTGGAGCGAGCCCGTACCGGCCCAAGCTGCATGGCTGTGACTCCCGAGCCCCCCAAAAAGGGTTTTCCCCCTTTCCTGGCATCCCCAGGTGGAGCAGCCCGTCCCGGCGGGCTTGGAGCCGCGCGCAGCACCAACGCTGCTGCCACATCCCCGTCCTCCCTGGTGCTTTACGAGGCTGTGCCGCTATCTATCTCTGGCGTTTATTAGCTGCCAGCGTGTAAACCTGGAGCAACAATAAAAGCCAATAACAGAGGCAATAAACCACGGCACACGCCAGGAAAAACAACCGGCCGTAAAGCAGGACTGAGCCCAGCTCAGGGACGCAGCACCGGGAACCATGTCCTGGCCATCCCGCACGGGACATGGGGACACCTGAGGTCCTCCCTGTCCCTGTCCTCCTCCCCGCCGTAGCCGTGCCGCTACCTTCGAGGTCCAGCTTGACCATGCCGGTGTCGTCCTCGAGCTCGTTGGTGACCTCGCACTCGTAGCGGCCGTAGTCTTGCAGGGTGACGTTGCGGATGATGAGCGAGGCGTCGCCGAAGCCATCCTCCTGCAGAGCCGTGCGGCCGCGGTAGCTGCCGAACGCCCGCCGCGCCTTCCCCAGCGCCACGAAGACGTCGACAAAGGCCATCGGCTCTGTCACCTTGGTCCACTTGAGGCGGATCTCGGCCGGGTCGTGGGCGGACATGTCGTAGTGGTACCGGCAGGGCAGGATGATGGTGCCGCCCCGGTGCGTCACCACCTTCCCCGGGGCCGTTTGCACGACCACGGCCCCGCTGTCCCCCTCTGCAAGGGACACCGAGCTCAGAGAAGTCCCTGTCCCCAAGCCTGGCCCTGCCTCCCGCCTGGGCAGCGCCGGCACACGGGCAGGACCCACGGCGGGGACGAGGCAGGCTGGGGGCGTGGGGCAGGCGGGGGCACCACCTTTGAGGGGAACTTCCCTCTTTTAGGGGCTTTGCAAACCCCGAGGAGGGTTAGAATCGGTTAGGTTGGAAAAGAGCTTTAAGATCATCAAGTCCCAGGCTGGGCAGCTCCTGGCCAGGGCGGGGGGACACGATGGATGCCCCAGAGACCCTGGTCGTGCTTTAACGGATATTAAACCCAACGGCCCGATGGCTGCAGGACGGCTCCCCGGTCCCGTCCCAGGGCTCCAGCCCAGCTCCCCGCTGCGCACCCCCGTCCCACTCACCCATGACATGGACCACCTTCTTCCGTCCCCGGGTGCTGAGCAGCGCATCGGAGGCGAGGATGCCGGCGAGGAGCAGCAGAGCTGCCGGGCCGGTGGCCCAGGGGCCTCGGGGACGCATCTGGGGGGAGAGCAGAGCCCCTCAGCACCCGCCGGCCCCCGGGAGGAGCGCGGCGGAGGGGAGATCTGGGAGCAAACCCACGCTCTGCCCGACCCCGGCTTCGGCAGCATCCCTGCAGCGATGCTGGTCCCCAACCCGCGGGGGCTGCGCTGGCCGGGGGAAGGAGATGCCGTCACCCCTTGTGGGGAAGCCCCCCACCCCGTCTCCCACCTCTCCCACCCCAAGCAGAGGCCAGCAGCGTCATTGCCGCCCCCCACCCAGCAGCCCAGGCCTGCGGGGACCCCCGCGCCCCCTGGCCTGCGCCGGCGCTGAACTCCGATTCACCCGCTCAGTTACAGCCGGGATGAATATTTCATGGCAGACGCGCCGGGCCGGATCTCTTGAGTTATTTATGTCAGCACTGGCACATCTGGAAACTGAACTGATGGCGTGGGAGTGGGCTGCGGCTGGTGGAGGCGCCCCGGCGCCCCCACGGACGCTGGCCGTCGTGA